CCCCCCCCCTTCCGCGCCCGATCCCCTCCCTGCTGTCCCCACCACTGCTGAGATTGAGGCCTTTTCTACTGCTGCGCTCGCTCGCGCTGTCTGGGATTCTCACGATGCTGTAGCACAGCTTGCCATTAGTCATGCGCTTCCCCTGTCTGAGCATCCGTGCTTCACTGCTGTCGCGAACGCCAAGGGCTTCCTACATGCAGTACTTGTGCGCTACTCCACCCCTGCCTCCGCCTCCGCTGACCGCTTGATCCTTCCCATTCAATTTCCTGACCTTTCCGCTTTCCCTACTGTCGCTGACCTCACTACTCACCTCCGTGCACTAGAGACTAGCTACCGCAATGCTAGCAATATCGCCCAGCTCACTGCCTTCCCCCCACCTTTCTGCGCTACCCTGTACCTTAGTCCCTTGCGCTTGCCTGACCGCTTAGCCACTGCCCACGTCCACTTCCCTAGCCAGCACCCTAGCAACCTCACCCTGACCACCTTTATCACTGCCCTGTCTGAGATAGGGACTCGCCAGCGCAATATCGCTTACTCAAGCGATGTTGCGGCAGTCCCTATCTTTCAGGGCTGCGCTCCCTCCCAATGCACGTACGCTGACATCTCCGCCGTAGTTGCTACGGCTGTCCCTGCCACTGAGACCGCATTTGCGGCCTTCTCACAGCAGCGCCGGCGTCGGGGCCGCCGCGGCCCCAAGGGAGGGCGTGGTGGTGGCGCTGGTTGTGGTAGTGGTGGTGGCGAGGACAGTGGTTCTGACGAGGGGGTTGGAGCTGGTATCCAGGAGGAGCAGCAGACGCAACAGCAGCAGCAGCAGCAGCAGCAGCCGTAGTAGCAGCCGTGGGCCCACCTCCAGCCGGGGTGGCCAGGAGCCCCAGGAGGTGGTGGCCGCGGTGGCGGCCCTCCCAGCTCAGCGTCTACCGGCGGCTTCGGTGCTGTGAGCTGCCAGTACCAGCTCCAAACCGCCCCCCTCCATGGCACTCTGTGCCGCCGACCGCACCCGACCACCCGCTGCTTCCACTGCCTCGACGGCCTCTTCCGTTGCCGCTTCGGCCCAGCCCCGGACCTCCCTGACTGGCCCTGTCTGCTGCGCCACAGTGTGTCTCTTTTTGACTTATACATGGATCAGATTAGTTCTACCATGCATTCTCTGTATGCTGACGCTTCTATTGTGTCCGGATCTTATTACCCTGTGTTCGCTAGCTTAGGCGTAGCACCTGTGTGTAGTCCAGACTCCCCTACTGCATCAAGCGTAGAACCGTTTGCTTTGTCTAGCCTAGGCTCCACACCTGCTCCTCTTTCATCTGCCGCTACTGCTTCGATATCCTTCACACTTGACTCCGATGCGTCGGCCTGCTTCTTCCGCGACCATGCCACACTCACGCCGCTTCCCGCGCCTGCCGCTGTCGCACTTGTTGACCCCTCCTTTGGTCCTATCGTTGCTCGCAGCTACACTACCCTTCCCTGTCCAACGGTCCCCTCGGGTTCCCTTACAGGCCTGCACATCTCTTTGTTCTCCAGGATCTTAGCTGGTGTTGGCTGTCTTCAACACCCCGGCGTCACCACTACGTTCCCTGGTCACGAGCGATACGCGGCCAGTACCGAGGCCGCCTCTGGTTCCCTCCTTGCGACGTTCCTCCGGGACCCGGTGTCTGGCTTGTTTACGCTGGACACTACTTCCCCCCTCGGTTGGGGCGTTCTCCCCAGGCCCTGCGTCTACCCTGGTCGCCGTTGCTTGCTCGTATCGATCGCTCACTCACCCGTCGCTCCTGTGGCACCACCGCCTAGGTCACCCCGCCCTCCCGCGTCTGCGTCACATGTCCCAGCACGGTCTCATCCTAGGTCTCTCTGCATCGCTTCCTGCCCTCCCTCCCTCGCCTGCACCGCTGTGCACGCCCTGCGTCGAGGGCCGGTTGAGCCATGCTCCTAACTCTCCTCACTTCGCCCTGCCACCGCACCCCTCCAGACCATGCACCTTGACGTCTTGGGCCCAGCCCCCGTCCCCAGACCTTGTTGTGAGCGCTAGTTTCTCGTGCTTGTCCATGATTACATGTGCTACACCACGGTGTTTCCCCTGGAGCCGAAGGCCGATGTGCCTAACGGTCTTATCGTGTGGGTTGTAGGTGCGCGTCTCTACCGCGGTCTCCCTATGTTGTGTCTCCACTTTGACCGTGCATAAGTACTCACCCATGGATGTCGTTTTCAGTGACATACTCTTCATGGCGCATGAAGCAGACGATGTCAGCGGCAACGACTACCGATGTGTAATTACCTTCATCGACGGTGCTACTCGATACGTCTGGCACAAGTATTTCTCTCACAATTCGGAAGCTCTTGACGCCTCCAAGTGTGGCTGAAAATCGCGGAGCGGCAGAGTGGAATCAAGCTGAAAGCGATCCAGAGAGACAATGCGGGCGAGTACACTAGCGAGCAGCTCGATGAATTCCTGGCGTGGAAAGGGATACTCACGCGCAAGACTGTGCCTTACGCCCATCAGCAGAATGGAGTTGTTGGGCGTACTAACAGAACATTGCAAGAGAAGGTGCATGTGCTGCTGCCACAGTCCTGCTTTACAGCAGACTTTTGGCCGTTTGTGATGGCGCAAGCAGTCCGCCTACACAACTGTTTGTCTTCAACAGCTCTCCCTCAGTTCAGCTCGCCATACGTCATGTGGACAAAACACCCTGCCGACACTCGACTATTACCAGTTTGGGGCTACATGGTCTAATACAGACCTCCAAGCACAATTGTGCGCAGATTGACTGAGCGGGCTCGATGGGGAATACACCTCGGTGTATGGATAATTATGGATTACGAAAACCGAAAGGTTTTGTATGCCCGAGACTGCATCTTCTACGACAAACTTTTTCTCGACGACTTCGAACGCGGCAAGGAACACCAGCAGCGGGGTCCTAATTGCTACAGTTCCGAACGGAGTTTCGCCACCCCTCAAGACAAAGCAGATGCAGCCGAATAATAATTTTCGCCCGACAGCGCAGCAGCAGGACCTTCTACAGTTCTGCAGCCGTCTGCGTCAGCAGCCGCACCATTGTTCGACTCCTATATTCCTTCGACACATGCCAACAACACTGAAACACCGCTCTTCATTCTCCTTCCGGATCCGTTGCCTCCTTCCACAACACAGGCTGCCTATAATTATGAGAAGCACCTACGCCATCAGAAAACTACGCAGCATCACATGATGGTGCCTGCTATCTGCCATCCGAAATCGACGATGATGATGTCGTCAAAGTTTGCCAACCTCATCCTCGTGGTGATCAATTGGCTCTTCAGATCCTTGACCTTGCTGTTGCAATTCAGCAACCCACAACTGGTATCGAACCGAAAACAGTCAAGCAGCCCCTCTCCAGCTATGATGCTGACAAGTGGCGAGTTTCTATGGACGCAGAGGTAGCACCTCTCGAGAAGCGAAAAACGTGGAAACTCATTCCACGTGAAGCAGCACGTGGCAAGAAAATTCTTTCGAGTGAGTGGGTCTTTTGCATACAGACAAATGCAGAAGGCGAACCAGACAGATTCAAGGGGAGATGGGTCGTTCGAGGTTTCGAACAAACCCACGGTATCGATTACGACCAGGCTTTTGCTCCGGTCAGCTGTCATACCTCAGTTCAAATTCTTCTCGCCATTGCTGCTGGCCGCCACCTTCCACTTCGCCAACTGGACATTAAAATGTGTTTTTATACGCGAACGTCAATGCAGATTATTTCGTCGACTCCCTCACACTTACGGTGACAGACTCCACATCTGCAGGTTACTTAAATCACTCTACGACATCAAACAGGCCCCTCACCTGTGGCTACCTCATCTTCACAAAGTGCTGATTTCACTCGCCTTCGTGCAGCTGCCCCACGATCCTGGAATGTACAGTCTCAAATTTCGGGGGAATTATATCCTCCTAGTTGCCTATGTGGGTGACTTACTATACACCGGCTCGTGCAACAGTCTTCTGGCGCGCATGGAGGAAAGAATCCAAACGATTCTTGAAGTGACTATTTCCTCCAATGTCACCCAATTTCTTGGGTTGAACGTCGACTACGGCCCCGATGCCATCTACCTTTTTGCAAGCAAGTACGTAGAAACACTTGCATAAAAGTTTGCAATCGCTCCTATCAGCCTCACCACTCCATTTCACATTTCAGCCAATCACACACCTGATACTAACCCACTTACCGCCTCAGAGCATCAACTTTACCAGCAGCAGCTCGGGTGTCGTCGATTTGCAGCCTTTACATGCCACACAGATCTTGTCTACATCACGAGTCAGCTCACACACTACATGCGCCGACCTAAAGGGGAGAATATGGAAGATCTTCGTCGAGCCCTCCAATATTTCATATCTACTCCTACAATTGGCATCAGCTACACAACAAACTTTGCAGCAAATTTTCGACTGAATGGATACATTGATGCAGATCACGCTGCTGACCCCGACAACAGGCGTTCGCATACAGGTTTCATTTTCAAACTTGAACTAGGTGGTGTCATTTCATGGAATTCAACAAAATAGGAGGTCATCGCACTTTCGTCAGCCAAAGAATAATTCGTCGCAGCAAGCTCCGCAGTTCGCGAAGGACTCTATCTTCAAGAGTTACTTCAAGAGGCAAAAATCACAACGACCTGTAACTTCAAGTTACTCCGCAACAACCAGAGCGCAATCAAGATTGCAAACAAGCCCGGCTTCGTCAACAGGACAAAACACATCGCCCTGCGATACTTCTTTGTCAAGGACAAAATCGATAAATGGAATATTATCCTGAAATACTACCCTACAAGAGATGGCAACTGATTTCCTAACGAAGAAACTCCCACGTGGCAAGTTTTGGTACTTCTCCAACCTGCTTGGAATCTGCAAACACGGCGACACTTACCCAGAGACATACACTCAGGAATGAAGGAGAGTGTTGAAGTATACTCAACAATGTTTACTTATGCATTCTTGATATAACACTTAGACTGTACAAGTAGCACGATACCTCATATGGAAGGACGCGCATGATGACGTCAGCAGTAGCGAGTCAACGCGTAAATAGTAGGTTCGCGCGCTTAGTCGCTTGAAGGGTCACGCCACTCTCAGTCACATGAACAATCACTAGTCATGTCACGCGAATAGTCGCGATACACTACGAACAGGTATATTTGAATAGGTACTTCCTAGACTATAAACATGCATGTTTTTCTCATTATTATTATCCTTGTCGTTTTTGACATTTCCAATACAATGTGTAAAGTCTTCCACTGACTTTTACTCGTGGTTCCACCAACTCTACATCCTGGCCATCGTAAACACGTGTTTTGCTTCTACATTTTTTTTTATACATTGGCCTGCCATTCCCTAGATTGTCATTCATTTATTCACACTTTCGATACTTCATTCTGCACTACTCCGCTAGTTCATTCATAACACCATACATTCTTAGCCACTTTCCTTGCTAGACCGTCTTTCTAGGGGAGTTATTTTTTTGGGGGGGGGGGGGGGGGGGGGGGGAGGGGAGGGAGTGACCGCGTAATCACCTCAGTTGAGATGCAGGTTGCTTGCAGGCTAGATTGATTAATTCGCTCAACTACGATACAGTTTGCACTCTTACCTGAGTTGGATAATCAAGAAGATTCTCATGCCGGCCTGGTATCCAATTCGGCTCAAATTTCAAGCAAAATTCCACAAGCGTATGGCGAGATTTGTTGCAACGGATGCTCACCTGAAATCGGTGATAGAAGACAATGAACTACACCAAGCGTGAGGACATACGCGGCGACCAGATTGACGACCTATCGGATGCGGAGAAAAAAACAAGATTCGTCACCTGACTCAAGTAGGAAAATACAGTATCTACGAAGATCGCATACATCGCCCGACAACGTTTCAGGAGGCAATCTGGATCACTTGCTTGTACGACGGAAATCGGGCATATGCTAGAGTTGGAGGAAATCGTTTTATCGGCAATTATCAACGACCCACGATGAACGGCGTAGGGGCGAACGAGCAAAATCACCTATCTCGAAATAGCCTTGGAAAAAAGCTGCAAAACAAGAACGATGCAAGAAGGCCGAGAAATGACAAGGGACGGGCCTTCTATTGACATGGCTGCATCACCCGAGGAACAACACCTCCACCGAGTAGTAGTACCGATAGATGCTATCGACCACTCCCGGGAAAAAAAACAAAGATGGTCATGTGGATTACCCGGTGTTGGCAAAAGGAAGCAAAAGAAAAGAAGAAGAAGAAGAAGAAGAAGAAGAAGAAGAAGAAGAAGAAGAAGAAGAAGAAGAAGAAGAAGAAGAAGAAGAAGAAGAAGAAGAAGAAGAAGAAGAAGAAGAAGAAGAAGAAGAAGAAGAAGAAGAAGAAGAAGAAGAAGAAGAAGAAGAAGAAAAAGAAGAAGACAAAGAAGAAGAAGAAGAAGAAGAAGAAGAAGAAGAAGAAGAAGAAGAAGAAGAAGAAGAAGAAGAAGAAGAAGAAGAAGAAGAAGAAGAAGAAGAAGAAGAAGAAGAAGAAGAAGAAGAAGAAGAAGAAGAAGAAGAAGAAGAAGAAGAAGAAGAAGAAGAAGAAGAAGAAGAAGAAGAAGAAGAAGAAGAAGAAGAAGAAGATCTCTGTTGATAGTGGCACGAGCCACAGTTTGATTCATTTATAAACAACTAAATTTTGAATCTACCCTTGCAGTGCTGTCTACCATGACGTGATGCACGATTGGTCGACTTGATAGAGTGCCAGGGGTTCGCATGAAGTATGGCGACGATTTCGGCTTCAGCGAGTCAATGCTGGCGACAACGGTGGACGGCTACAATGTGCTACTTTGACAGATTGGTTGTGGCACTTCAATCCAAAAATCGATTGGACGACGAGTCAACGCGATTACACTGACGAGGGTGGTCAAAATAGGTGCCAAGCTGTTCACCGTTCATCTTCAAGACTCGGTGGACGACAGTGCGTCGACTAACATCGAGAAACTTTGCAGGGTATTACCTGACTCGTTAGTTCGTTAAGAGCTGAGCTTTCCTGTTTTCCCCTCAGTTATCTCCTAATACTTCCCCAGCAGGAGAAAAGGCAATGGCATACATGAATTGATTCTTAGGACTACGTGACAATCTTATCCGAAGTGGAGGGAACTTATCGGAGGAGTCACTCATGACCGTGGTCCTTGCAAGTCTCGGTCCACAATGGCGTACGACCCGATCACTTCTTCAAGCCCATGGGAGAATCTCGGCGATGCACCTCTGCGCCGATCTTCACCCTGAACAGCAGGATATGGACTTGTTCGAAGAACGCAATCCAAGAAAGCCGAGTCAGGGGATTGCATTTTATGCACCTGGACGACAACACAATGAACATGGTCAAAGGCGCATTGTAACTCCGTACTACCATCTCTGTCACATAAATTTACGAGTTGACTGTCCTAGGTAACAGCGACAAACGCCCCAACCGTTTCGTCCATCCAATCAGCAAGTCATGTCGACCTAAGAGCATCCGACCGCGTCCGCGTTACGTCCTACGCAAGGAACGCGCAACATCGCCAGCTGCATGGCACGCATAGACTCTTGCGTAACAAAATCACCACCTACCTACGACGCTAATGAAGTTCCGTCGCAGCCGAACCCGAGCCGTATTCAGTTGAACCCAACGTACGCTGACATTACTCGAGATGAACTGTTGGGGCATGACACGTCGTTCTTGGACAGCTATTGCGGACATCACATGTGCTCCTCCACACATGCTTCATCTGGCGATAATGCACTTTCAACCGAGAAGTTGTGATTACCGTCGTCAAGAAGCAGAACCTGCGCACAACAGGACAACGTGTGGTTCAGTTGCAATTACTGGAAACAAACGTTGTGGTGCAGATGTCTCGTGTACAAATGGTTGACAACCTTGGCTACAATCTTCTCAGTATCAGCCAGCTGATCTCAAAGGACATTCACCTGGAATGCGACAGCGAAGAAAGAGAGTTCAAGTTATATCACGGGAAGGGAGGGCTTTACATCAGAAGGCAATACTCAAGTCCGGCGTGTTCGTCCTTGACTTCGTACATGATCGCGGAACGACTGATATTGACGTCATCACGTCATTCACGACATGGACGCACCCTCCGAATGTCGACCCTGACTTCAGTCCGAGTGGCTTCTGGCATTCAAGCATAATCCCTGAGATAGAGAGCACTTGCTCGTTATCAATCATGCGTGAAGCAGAGATTACACCAAAAGAAGATAAGACAACGATCTCGGAACCACATGCTGGCCCCTCGACCATCCTTGCTCCTCCACCAGTCAAAGAGCAGCCGCCAACTGAAATAGAACAACTGAAGCCGGCACCTCGTAAAGCCCACCAAAGCGCCGTGACGTTCCCCGCGTTTTGCGCCAACTCGGACCTGTACCATAGATCTGCTGGACACAGAGCAGGCAAAGACATATGGCATCAACGACTAGTCTATCCAAGAAATTCAAGATTGTACAACACAATACGAGCAGCATTGCTTGACAAAGATGCACTGCTCCTACCCGACAGGAAAGAAGCGAGCTTCTTGAGTTGCTAGAAGAGGCGAAAATCACAAAGTTACCCAACTACTCTCTTTTCTACAACAACCAATCTGCGATCTGAATCGCAAAAAGAAATGGCTTCGTGGCCCGGACGAAGCACAACTCACTTCGTTACTTCTTCGTGAAAGACGAGATCAAGCAACGATGAGTCCAGCCTGGCCTACAATGTTAGAATACTAGAATGACGAAGTAGGACGAGAAGACGCCATGAATGGCGAGAGGTTTTAGGCTAGGAAAAAGTTATGAGAGAGAAGAGAGATTGAAAAGAAGAGAGAGGGATACAAGGAGGGAGTTGTACCCTCTACAGTAGGTTCCTGTAACACCTACCAAGCCTATAATTATATATAAGATATAATTTAACATACTGCCCTACAATTGAAATGGCAGTCGACTACCTAAACAAGAGGCTAACAAAGGCAAAGTTCGAGTACTGCATATTGCTGACTGGACTACAACATGTCACCAGCCTCGAACACGTCAGAAATGAAGGGGAGTGTTGGAAATAGTATAATGAAGAGAAGACTTAAGCATTTCACGATTATCACGGTCTTATGTAATACGCGAGCAAGGCAGCACCGAGGATAGACGAGTCAACCACGCTACAGTTCCTCTCGACGGTTGACGTAGTCTGACGACACACGACGGAGGTTGCAAAGGGCAATAGTTACTACTCATTGACTTTACCGTCAACTTATACATACTTGTGCATGTAGAAGTTATAGGCTAGAATAGGTGTGTGTTCTTAGAGAGTTCAACCCAAACCCTATATCTCCCTTGTTCTCTCTCTTTTGTATTTCATTCTAGTATTCTAGCATTTTCAACCCAGCAGTCAGAAGTTCAAGGGGTGAAACAGCTGCATGACAGAAAAGGCATATAATCGTATCGGTATTACAATACGGGAGGTTACCCGAGTCGTGCTTATCGATTCGTGAAGGGAATGTACCCTTATGAAGTGCACTGTTAGTTAGACTCTTCGTATTCTCTTGCAAAACTTTATAAGCCATTGTATCTCCTTGTTATAATCAATTGCTTGTTCTCACACATCAGTACAAGGATTCAGCTAAGACTCACACTGTGCTATGAAAAAATCTACTTACAAGGACTTACCGTAGTCTCTGCCAAATATTCATGGGCTGTACCCAACCCAAGGGGCAGCTTTCGAATTCAGACTATCAGACAGAAAAATTATGATAAAGAGAGCCCTGCACTCCACCCTTGTTCAGGCTATACACTCCGTTTTGTTTTTCATATGAACTGTATTAAACCCCCAAAAGGGGACAAAACCTATAAGCACTCCTTTGGGACATATAGTAAGAATAAGAGTAAAGCTCGAAATGTATGCACAACGATTTTTTTTGGCCTGGTATGTTACAACGAGGCTGCTTTTGCGGAAGCCCCTCTGCCAGCAGCTGTTGTTCAGCGCTGCTCATCCTGAGCCTCATGTTCTGCACTACTTTTTCACACGCGAAATAATCTCCTCCGGAATCATCGTCTCCCCAGCGATCATCGTCTCCTCAGTTCTCACCCCCCACCTTGTCCCGGCATGGCCAAGGGGTACGTGGCGTCCGCGAAGGCGTGGCTGGCGGCGCAGGTCAACGACGAGGAGCGCCTCGCGGCCAACCTGGTGCGTGCCGCTATGTTCTGCGAAATGCTGCTAAATGCTTCCAAATGCTGCTATATGCTGCCAGGACCCCTCGCGAGCGCGGGTCTTCGCCTCGTTCGTGGCGGCGATCGATCCATTCGTGCCCGTAGAGTAGCGCCGGCTGGATCCTTCCCGTCTCCCCTTGTCTCGGGCCGCTTTTGCCGACTTAAGCGTCCCGGGCGTTTCTCATCTACTTTCATCGCGATTGTGTAAACGTCCCCAGTAATCCTGGGACAGTCCCCTGAGGCGTTCTGCTGGCTTGCCTCTGTTTACCGTATTCCAGTTCTGTTCTCCATTTGTCGACCATCTTCCCGTTTCGCCTAACCCCGAGTCTTGCGTCTGTCTGTGTGCATGTGTTGCCTGCGATCCCGTGCGTGCAGCGGCTGCTGAAAGCCGTGGCCGCCTTTGGAGGGGCCATCGTCCTCATGCGGAACTTCGGCGATGCCATGGCCATCTAGCCATCTAACCGCCTACCCGCCTGACCGCCTAGCCATCTAGCCGCCTAGCCGTCTCGCCATGCAGCTGCTTGGCGTCTACCACAGGTATCTCGCCCTCTAGCCGCGTCGCCATATACCGTACCAGGTAGCCGTCTAGGCCCGTGGCCCTCTAGCCACATAACCAACATGTAGGCTGTGGCCATGGACGTGCGATCATCTGATCAATGCACGCATTATGATGAGTTATGATGTACCTCTGCCCGCTGTCTAGACTCCAAACCAAACGCCATGCCCTGTGATGCCTTGTGTTTGGAATGGAGTACTGATAGGTTTCCGGAATGGGACGAAGGTTTTGCAAGGACGAAAAGTCCTTACGCAGGTTTTTTGTGTAACATTTGGAGTGGAAGTGCATCTTTAAGTCTTGTCAGCCGAAGAATGTGTGGAGTGGACTGACTCCCAATGGGCCATGTCATTCTGCATGTTAAGACTAGAAAGAATGAATTGTCAGAAACCCAATCACTAACCACTGGGTTAAAAAGGCTTGTTGAATAGCGGGTAAGTGCGCCCATAGCCCCCCAGGCTTTGCACCTGTGGCCCTTCCGCGAGGATCTTTTCAAGGGTAACCCAGCGGGTCACTCAACACCCCCCCTCGATGGGATAGGTGGAAGACACGAGCGCCTCTGCAGCGCTGGCACTGGGACTAGAACCCAAGACCTTTGGCTCTGATACCATGTCAGAAACCCAGTCACTAACCACTGGGTTAAAAAGGCTTGTTGAATAGCGGGTAAGTGCGCCCATAGCCCCCCAGGCTTTGCACCTGTGGCCCTTCCCCGAGGATCTTTTCAAGGGTAACCCAGCGGGTCACTCAACATGAATATGTTGGAAATATCTCGAGGACTTAGCGTTTCTGAAGTGTAAACACCACACTCGAGGAAGATTGTAACGGGTACGCGAGTCAACGGAGGTTACACGAGGGGAGGACAAAGAACACGAAAGGACTCGAAGGGTCGCAACCGGAGGTTGCGCGACTGACCGTTACAACTG